GCATTATGAGCAGCAATACACAAAAAAAGCAGACAAGCAAGGAATAAAACCCCATACCACAATATAAGCATACCAATGTGATGCTTAAAATACAAAAAAGTTCATACTAGGAACCATGATCATTAAGAGTGTTGAAGTGAAAGATGTATTATACTTCCATCAATAAATATTTGGATGACAGAGGTTAGAAAAAGAAACTGTCCCTTGTCCTGAAACACTAACCATCTATAGCTGACAAACATGTACACAATACCAAAAGTTTAATATAAAAATTGATAAGTTAAATGACACATTTGCACGAATACTGCTGAAGAGGAGAGCAGGCTTGTGCTAATTTTGGAGAAATTTTACAATTTGCCTTTGAAACAACTACAAGCCATTGTTTATAAATCAAAATGTTGTGTTTATCTGAATACGTTCATAGGATCTTTGAAAAACATGCATGTCAGCATAGAGCTTTGAAAGCTCTTTATTATCAAGGAATGTCACTAGCAGCAAAACTTTCCAACCAACAGTAGTACTAGATAATCAATATTCTTCCATTTATATGTACTTTACTTGTATATCTAAACACATCTGGAGCTTATGGGAACATTGCCTCCATTTGTATTATCTTGCTGGAGCTCAGAATATCTCAGAAAATACAACATTAAACCTGGACTATAGTTTGCCACGTTTTCCTGCTGATAAATAGTAGGAACAACTTCTGCTGAAATTTTGGAGGAATGGAGGAGATGTAACATAGTGGGCACATATACATGTGAAATGAATTTGACACAAACTTTGGCACATTTGTGCTGGAGTTTATTACTCCAGCTGCAGTATTTACATGTGCACCTGGGACCGCAGTACATTGAGCTGGGGAAGAGCAGCCCTGACTGGCAGTGGGCCCAGGGGTCAGCCTGCCAGCCTGGAGCTGCTCCAACTCAGCTCAGCATGCTGCAGAGGGGCTGGCTGCGGCATCAGGGTGCTACAGTGAGGAGTTAGCCAGCAGGCAGTACCCTAATGACCAGGGATCCTGGTTTTCCCACTAAAAAGTATATTAGTGGTGTTTCATTTAAATGATGGAAAAATATGGATTTGGGGTTACTTTTTTTTTTTTTTTTAACTGAAAATTCAGGATTTTTTTTATCAGAGAAAACCAGTATCCCTGCTCATGACCCAGACAGCCCTGATCAGCATCTACATGTGTGCTGCAGTGGAGAAAATAACTCCACCATAATATAGTACTTCTGTTGGGCAGTACTATCCTATGGCGGAGTTGACTAGTTTACTCCAGCCTAATAGTACCATACGTGCAGATGCTAACACTTTACTGGGGAGCTAAATTAGTCAGCTTTGCAGCAAACATCTTGCACCCACTGTTATTCAAACTGCCTCAGTATGACCCAATATTCTTTTGTTTCCTACAGCTATTTTTAGAGACAACTGCTAGAAATATTTTGGCAAAATAATAAGTGAGCATTAGAACTAGTTAACAATTTGACACAGATATTTGAACCAAAAAATATGAAAGCTATTTACAAAATAACCAACAAAAACAAAAACAATCCCATATTTTTTCATCAGCTCTACTCAACATAAAGGCTAGGGATAGAAATTACACATAAACCAGTATAAGTGATCAGAAACCGGTTCAAATCTATAATGGAACGGAAGTTCAATGCACATAAACCATTTGCAAAATGTCCAAAACCATTTTAAGATAAATCTAGATCGATGTAGTATCAGACTTAACTGATTTAGTTAAGTCCCAGATCCCTTCCAGATGCAAGTTAACTCGCAGGTGCCTAGCATCCCAGGATGCTTTGTACCTTCCCAGCAACCCCCCCACCCCCAACCCCCAGGGTGCGCAGGCTAGCCTTGGCTCAACCTGTCTGCTCCAGCCAAGTAAGCAGGTGTGCTTTAGCACCCCCCAGCTTCTGGCCTGGGCCACTGCATTTCCAGAATTGAAAGTGAATGTTGGTTCAATCTACACAGTTTAGACTGCCCTGCGAAGATAGAATTAATTGAGCCTTGGGCTTTTTGACTGTCTGTACTTAGCAAAAGAGTTGAGGGACATGCTGCATCAAAGCAACAGTACCCACCCTATCCAGCAGAAAGCTGACAGAACAGCAAAGCCAGCATAAACCTTGTTACCTAGTGACCCTTCCTTGGGGAAATCACATGAGTGAAGAGATCCCTCAAGGGACAAAGATGCAACCATACTGGGACAGATCTTTGTACTCCCCCCGCCTACCTTTTCGAAGGGCAGCTGTGGACCCAACAACCTATGATCTATCCTGGGACACAGCCTTCTCTTCCTATTAGATGGTACAAGATCCAAACCCTGCTGATGATGCATAATTAGATGGGACAGAAAACAACTGGAACTAAACTCCACTACAAACATTCCTCTTTTAAATAATACTTAAAAGCATAACTGTTTAAAATGCAGTTAAAGGGACATTATTCAGGTTGGATGGAGAAACATTTAAGTTGCAAGGTGCCTTGGTGATCCTTGTGCAATTCATTAATAACTAAACTTTTAAGCACACAATCTCACCCACAGGAAGACTACTGCCTCTGATGCACAGGTTGGGTGCATAGAGCATTAGTAGTAAAACATTAAGGGCAATCTAAATACCCTTAGATTTCCCTACTTTCAAATGTTTGACTTTACAGCATAAATCATGGTCATTGGCAGGGTTTTTTTGTAATATACTTAAAAAATTCTGTTAAAATCCATGTGCTGATTCTGGAATTCACTAAAATGGAGAAGTGAGAGATTTAGGAAAAAAAGTCTAATTCATTATTCACTTCCATTAAAATCAATGAAGTATTTCTAATAGAGCTGTAGGTTAATTCTATTAAAACAAATGGAGTATTTCTAACCAATCTGAGTTTATATAATACATTCATGGCTCATTACTGAAAGAGCCAGGGTTGGGTTTTTTTTTTTAAATGAATTTCATGTCACTTCTATTGATTCTGACAGAATATGTCTTGCAAGTATGTTTCTTGATTTCAGATTTATTGGAAATCTGTATATATAAGCTAATTATACCTGCACAGTAGTTGACTGATTTTATCATGGGATTTTGGTGCTAAACCATAAGGCTGAATATTTATATGGTTTTCTCATAATATCTATACTTCAAAAGAAAGTTTATTTAATGTACTCAGTACCAGATTTACTTAAATAGAAGACAACCCTCTAATAATTAGGTTCTATATATGGAAAATTTACAATTAAGTTATAATTTTCCAGTTATAGAATCTAATTACTGAAGGTTTGCCTTGAATTTGTCATCACCCCCTCTCCACCCCCCCCCCCCCCCCCCCCCCCCCTGGGAGACCAGGAAAAATAAATCTGGAGGGTCAGGCTGCCCCTTTGCTCTCTGCTTCCTCACAACTTTTTCCCACTGCAGTTCCCTCCTCCTCTGCTTACTGTCAAACCCTGCTCTCCCTGAGCATGTGGAAGTGAGCAATTTTTAAACAAATGACATTGAAATTAATTATGGCTGTAGCAATTTGCATATACTACCCATATACTTAGTTCATCCAGAATTGATGCATGTCATTTTTTTTTTAACTGACGCAAGTCTGACCACAGTTTCAAGCAGCATGTTTGCACCTACTTACACGTAGTACAAACTATGAATGATATTAGTCCAGAGCCAAAGGTTCATAATTGCCCATACTTTTCATTGGAGCTGGGACCCACCAGAGTCAACATTTCAAGCCACAGTGACCCCACAGCTCAGCATTGCTCATTATGTGTGTGTACTCCAGATACCCCTCCCACAAAGAACCAATGTGCTAATTAGCCCCACCCCCCTCCCCCATGACTGGAGTCGGGTCTTCTTGTCAAGAGTCCTGGGATCCTCCAAAAATGTATATGCAGATGAGACACAGAGCAACCTGGTCTGGCTCTACCTCATGAAGTGTGGGGCCACACTAATCCTATGCACCAGAGAGGGGGGGGGAGACAGAGGGATTCTGGGTAAACTGTTTGGGACCCTGTTTCATGATGTTTGCCAGACATTTAAGGCTGGTGAAACAGAAATGATTGAAAATGGAAAATATAGGCATGGCTTAGCTGTGGGAATAAAAAGGAAGTAAAAAGGTATACAGTATAGTGGCTCACCATGACTTGGAAAAAGAGTCGGTGCTGAGGGGAACTGTACTTAATGGTATATCTTATTCAGATGGGCTGCACTAATCTATCCTTATGGTAGGCCTCTTGTCGGCTAAAGTGTAGTCGTTGCACTGGTTTGGTACACAAGCCAAAATGGATTTTATTGGCATTGCGTAGTGGAGGGTGCACCTCTGTCCAAATGCACTGCAGACAGGACACACTATGAAAGTCTTGTAATTAGCTTCTCACTGGCCAGTATCCAGTGGGAGGATCTTGGCTACACACCTACTCTATGCAAGTGGGGGGACTCCTCTCTACCTTATTCCTGCAGCCATTTGCTGAGGGCAAGCAAGACTCAGAGGCATCTGAACCCCAAGCCTCTGGGTTTGGGCCTACATGCAGAATGCCTACTTGATGGATCTGGAAGTACCTGAGCCCCCCAGCTGAAAAGTCTAGGCTAGAGGATGCTTGCTGGTTGCAGTGCCACATATGGTGTTTGAACAATTGAGTTTTGCTCAGTCAAAAGGATTCAGAACTGATCTGGCTAATTTGACCTGGAACACGAAAAATTTTCCAAACTATATATTTGGTAGGTTACCACATATCTGCAAAATCCCACCCCATCTATTCATACGTATAGAAAATTAGCAGAATGAAATTCTATTCACTTCATATTAATGCTGTCTGACAGAATATTACCCATGATCTAAATGCTGCACTGGGATCTGTGTCCCATACTCTAACATCAAGATGCAATGAAGTCCATGGTGCTTCAGCATGCATTCATGAATTCTGCATCCAACTGCAGGATCCTGGTCCAAGCACATGCAATAATTATCAACCTTTTCCCCCCAAATAAAATGAAAAACACCCAACTTACTTGCTTTTCCCTTTGTATACTGTGGCATATGATCCTTCCCCTAGTTTTTCCAGTTTTTCATAAGAGTCTGCTTTTCCAAACTTGGGACTTGTAGGCTAAACAAAAATAAAAGGATGGAACTTTCAGAATGAACACCAACATTAGCCACTTTAAACTGTGAAAGATCAAATGTCATTACTGAAACTGATGGGATTATGTTTGATTTTTTTTAATGCTGCTTGCTAGTGACATTGAGCAGAGCTAATGTAGAATGTTTAATAGGCTACTCAAATAAATATCATTCAACATTCCAGATGGCAGTTGCCTCTTTCAACCATAGTCTTGCATCGATGGAACCATCAAAAGGACTTTGCTCTTAGTCAAAAGGTGGTTTTTGTTTCACTTTTGATGTACAAGCTTTACGTGCAGTAACAGATCATTTCCAACTAAGCCAACCTATCTATTTTAACAGACATAAGTACATATTTTAAGCTGTCCCATAAAATAGGCCAAGAGATCACTCGGGGTTACTGACATGAAAGTGTAAAAACTATATTAAACAGCACTGGGGAACCGAGTGCCTTCCAGAAGGTGCTAACTCTCTTAAAGGAATGGTCCCTCCAAGAAACATTTTCACTTCTCAAATTATACTAAAGTTTAGTTTACATATATAATTATTACCTGCAAGGCACATGTATACAGCATGGTCTCTTAACATCCTTTAGATCTGCTATCTGGGCAAACGAACAATGCTAAATACAAATTATTACTCAATGAAAACTTATGGTACAGATTCTCAGTTACCATGAACAGTTTCATAGTATCATAGTGCTTAGGTCGGAAGGGACCTAAACAGATCATCAGGTTTGACACCCCGCCCCAGGCAGGAACGAGTGCCGGGGTCATAACACCCCAGCCAAATATCTGTCCAGCTTCCTCTTGAAGACCCCCAAGGTAGGAGAGAGCACCACCTCCCTTGGGAGTCTGTTCCAGAGCCTGGCAGCCCTAACTGTAAAGTAGTGTCTCCTGATGTCCAGCTCTATTAGTAGACTTAGCTCTATTTCCTCTAGTGACAGCTGAAAATGTGAGCATAAGCTTTTATGCAAGCCAAAATAAAGCTAACAAACAGAGCTAAAATTCATAGCATGCCTTTAAAAATTTACTTGAAATGATTCAATTTAAAACTGCCAAAATTAAAAAGAAAAAGTAAATTATGGAGAAGTTTCCCATCATCTTAAAATGCATAGTTTATCATCAATTAAACAGTCTATTCAGAAAAATATCAACATGTATAAAGCAATCTTTGTTAATTCTCGATTTGTACAGTGCCTAGCAAAGAGGTCCATGAGTTGGCACTAAAGTTTACAAACAATCATTTTAGTGCACTGGCTCTATGCATTAACCTCATTATAAATATCATTTTATGGCTGTTTTTTATTTTCAGATTTTGTTTTACCAAATTCCTTCCTATCTCATTCTTTTGCCTATTTTCCAATTCAAAAAGAGGGGAAAAATGTAAAAGGGAAAAAAAAAACTTTTTTTAAAGCTTTATCTTAATTTTCCATTGAGGAAAAGAAATAGTAAAAACAAAAAACTGAAAATCAAAAATATAAATGAAACTTGGGTCCATTTAAAAAGGTTCATTAAAAATAATCTTTCAACCACAAAAAAATTAAATGCATTTGATGCACTCAACTACCCTTGGAAGAGATATAAACAAGTTTCTGAAAGTCCCACATGTAATGAGAATAGTTATAGGAAAGTTTTAGAAAACTGTACTTTTACACAGTCTGGGGGGAAAAAAGCCAAAGAGCCAGAGAGGCTCTCTCAACATAGGAAACCCCTTGCTTCTAAAGGACTCATCCTCAGGGGGGTGGAAGGGGATGAAAGAGGGTTCCTAGCTAGACTGGCTTGAAAGAACAATGCTGCAAAGTCCAGTGGCCATGATTTCTCTGGGGAAATTACTATAATTTGGGGGGTTTTATATAATGTCCAGCACAATGAAAGCCTGATTCTGGATTAGGCTTGCTAGATCGAGGGTCAGCAATCCCGGCACACATGCCAGACCGTGGCATGCAAAAGCATTTTGCTTGGCATGTATGCCTCGGAGTAGAGGGTGGGGAAGGGGCTGGGGTACATGGCCACAAGGAGTGCACTACCTCTCATGGCTCCCCCCCCATCTGCCCAAAGGCACATATGCGCCTGCCACTGGCTCTGGGCCAGAGCTCCACAGACACCAGTGCAGTCACTTGCAACCTCCATACCACCTGCCACAGCCAGCCCAGGCTCTGGGCAGGCCCTTGCCACCTGCCATGGAGCACGGGCTGCTCACAGCAGGCAGCAGGAGGGCTGAACACAGCAGCACTGGGGTCCATGGAGCCCTGACCCAGTTTGTTGCCAGTGGAAGGTGCACACACCTACGGACAGATGGCAGGGAAGAGGCTGGGGCTGTGCTGCCACAACAAGGATTTGGCTCTTCACGGCTCCCCCACCATCCGTTCCTAGCATGCCAACATCTTACAAGTTGAGGTTGTGGGTGTTTTTGTCACACTGCCCAAAAACACTGCCAACCCCTGTGCTAGAGATACTTTCACTGTATTAATAATCTGACTTTAACAAACTGAAAAACAACAAAAACAAAATGAAACAAAAAGAAGATTCTTTCAAGTCTTTTGCAAAACCTTCCAATGAAAATTGAATAGGGGCCCATATTTTTAAAAGGTATGTAAGCACTGTGCTGTTCATCAGTGCAGTGCCTAAATTACTTAAAAGCCAAGTGTTCTTTTCAGTACACTTAGATTCCTACTGAAAGGGAATGCAGAGCCTTTCTTTTATAGGAGGATACTAAGGGTAAATCTGCATGGCCTTCAAAGATGTGACTGCTGCTTGAACAGACATACCAGGTTAATCTGGTTTATGAGAATAGTGCAGTCAAAGTGACATATAACTCAATACAGGTTGCAAAATCTACCCAAGGAACTGGATAAATAAATACCTGGATGGTTAGCACATCCTGAGTATTGTGCTGCTGTGGCTCCACTGCTCCTAGTATGCAAACTAGCTTGGCAAGGTCTCATGAATATCCGAATAGAAAGTACAGCAGAGTCAATTAGCTTGCACAGAGCTGTGGGTGGCTATGCTGCATTCAGCATCTGAGCTAGCTCTAGGCTATACAGTAGTCTGCAGTGTAGCCAAACCCTAAGCCATTTGGAGCGAGGGTAGAAATACTAAGTTGTTCATTACAGCTTTCCTGATCTGTAAACTTCTAACCTAAAATTTGTTTTTGGGCACGGAGGCCAGACCCAAAGAAGAATGGTCCAATCCAACCAACTACTCCACTACTTCCTGCCCTATAAGAGGTTATCACTAGGCAGCATGTGCTTAGGGAAGCTGATAGTTAGCAGCCTACCAAATACAATACACATTTGCAAAAGCATCAAAACAACTATTTGAGGGCCCTCCGTCACCAGATTTCCAAGTAGCTTATAGCATATAGTGTGGTTCCCTGCATTTTCTCCCATGTCATTTGCTTATTCTCACAACAACATTTACGTACATTTACAGTCCTAGTAACTACAGCATAGGCATCATAAGAATTATTAATGCTTTCATACAGTAATAAGAAACAGGCAGCATTTAACCCATTATCACACAGTAAATCAGCAATTATTAGTCCTACAATCACAAACTCACTTGCCCATACATAAGCTGCCAAAAAATACTGGTTTAAAGACGTAACTGACTCACTCCCCAATTGGGGACCTAATGCCTTCGCCACACAAGGTATTAAACAAGAAAAAGATCTTAGTTTAGCAGAATAAACAAGATGGCCTGATCTACTGGATTATTCAGTAGAAATGACCATTTTGACTGCCTCTGCCTCATGGGAAGCTTTGCTCCATCCATCACTAGCAGCTGCTTTTTTTGTAAAAATATATGTATATATATACACACAGACACACACACACACACACACCATCTCACAAACTTTTCTTCGCACATCTTCACCCATATTCAACAACCTGTGCAGCCTTTAAACTAAAACACACTCCCGCGAACCCGTCTGTCCCTGGCTAAACCCATTTCCCCATGGAGCTCAGGTACAGCAGCCAGGAGCTACTCTGGAGCCTACCCTGCCTCCATGCCCCGCCACTCCCAGGCCCCCAGGGCAGCCAGGGACAGCAACAGTGATGGCAATACCATACCTAGACTCCTGGGGGCCTCAGGTAAACTTTCAGTATTGGGCCCCCCTTCGCCAGAGGCAGCGATAATAACCGGACAATGGGAAAAAATTACCATTTTTGGGACTCCTTTCTGTCTGGGATCCAGACAGCTGCCTGTTTGCCCATGCCTGTGTCTGGCCCTGAGTGTTGGAAAGAAGAGCAAGAGAGAGGGAAGGATCTGGGAGGGGAAGTGCCATTGAGCATGGAGAGGAAGGGAAAGAAAGGGAATGGAATCCTTACCCCATTCAGGGACTTTTTAAATTATTTTTTTAAGTCCCCAGCAGCTGCACCTGTAGCATCATCAACTGAAAGAGGGGCACATCCATACTATTGCACCCCCTCTGTATCCATGCCTGCAGTGAACCATAAGCTGAATAAATGAACCAATAGTGTGATCTTGCTGCAAAAAAGCCAACAATATACTGGGTTGTATTTACAAGATTGTCACTTGCAAATAAAGGTAAGTCTTCTGTTTTGCTTGGCACTTGAGGCCTTACGTGAAGTACTGTGTGCAAGACAGGGATCCACACTTCAAGAAAGACGTGGACAGGTTGGAAAGAGTCCAGTGGAGAGCAACAAAAATTATTAGAGGCCTGGGAAGCATGACTTATGAGGAAAGGCTGAAAGAACTAGGGTTACATAATCTGGAGAAAAAAAAAGAAGACTGAAGGGGGATTTGGTAACAGTCTTCAAATACCTGAAGGGGGAATATATAGAGGATGGAGACAGCCATTTCTATAGCCATAGGGCAAGGGTGGGCAAAATGTGGCCCGCGGGCAGCATGTAGCCCACCAGGTCATTCTGTTTGGCCCGTGGGGCCCCTAAAAAAACTTAGAAAATTAATATTTATCTGCCCCTGGCTGCCTGACATGAGGCCATCGACAGCTTGCCAA